CAAAGCTCTGTGCATGGAATCATGTGGCTACAAGAAGCCACAGGCTGGCTGCCGTTGAAGCATCTTCCTCACAAGCATCCCACAAGTCTCACCTCCCACCTGGAACCTCTCAGCTACAGCCTGGGACCAAGCTTTATGGGCAGGCAATGGGGATCAGGAGGCAGCAAGGTGAGTCTTAGTTTATGGGACCTGGAGCGGTTGCATAAGGCAAGATTTAATCTCCAAAAGCAGAGATCTGAATGCATTACCTAAATAGACATATATGAAGATGCATGAAGGGGAGTGATATTTAACCCTTGCATGAGGGTTTCCAGCACAGACAATGCCCCAACATGGCGCTACAGGAGAAAGAAACAAACTTAACCAACTCCTGCCTCTCCTGCCTGCACAGGCCACGGGGGTGGCATTGGGATCCAGACTGAAGAAAAATAAATGAAGCCACCAGCAATACGGGCATCTACACACAATGTAGGCCCACACCACAGGGCAGACCTAGCCAATGCAAGAGCTGTTCAGACAAATATAGACTTCTAGTACTGCTTGAGGTGACCTCGATTACCCAGGACATCTATCCAGGGCTGACAGATAAGAGATGTGACCTACAGGAGATCCACACCCTTTTGGCCTGGCCTCTGCTGGCCAAAGAGAATATTTAGAGCATCCCAGGTAGGATGTATGCAGGGAACTAAATCAAGCCATCGCTGTCCGCAGACTGTAATGGAAGTTCATGAGTAGACAACTCTGCTGGAGACTCCTAACTCCACACATCTCAGTACGGCACTTAACTCCAACCTAGCTCATTTGCAGTCACTTAACTGTTCTGCTGTATTCCTGCTTTGAAAACCCCTCAGCAAATTTTCTCGCTATCATTCACCATAATTACTCTAACTAAACATATGGTACTATTTCCCACGAGTCAAGACTATAGGTAGAGACTATGGTCCTTCTCAGTTTTGGAGGATTAGAATTTTCTATCTGTTCTGTTGAACAGATACCATGTCAAGTACAGCTTGCTGTCCTCCAATTGAGAATGATAAATGCACTGACAGGTGGCAAAAGGAATATTTTATGAGTAAGAAAATGAAATAAACCAAATGAAAACACACGACATGTTGTTGGTGGAACAGTACATTTTATGCAATGGCTGTATGCAATGGGAATATTAGCTCTGATCTGCATAAGTGCAAATTAAACTGCTGATTTAGATTATTATATTTCATGCACAGGAACTTTACAGACTTTCACTTTTTCTCATTCTGTGTAAAACCTTTTGAGTTACTAGCCTTTTTTTGTCAACTATATTTTAGAAGTTAGAGGTTTATTCCTCCTGTTACATTAAAGGAGGCATTTTGCTCCTAGGAGAGTTTAGCATTTTACTCAGCTGTGATAACATTCCCTTATACTCTAGCACGAAACACAATTAAGACAGAAATGTTCAGTAGTTTTACTATGTTTTTGTGTGAGGAGCTAATAATTTTTCCCCCACTTCATTTTTCAGGGATTCCGAAAGGGATTTTACAAACTCTACACATTTGTCTAGCACATTCGGTAGTAGCATAAATAAAGAATAAATGGACCTCAGTGGGGGCTTTGTCTTCCATACTTTTACTGATTCCACTTTCTCTTATTGCAAGTTTCAAGTGCGCGGGAATTTTCTGATTAATATGCTGGGCTTATGGGTAAATTTTGCTGACATTAATTCGGGCAATTAATTACTTGGGTAGGTAAGCAGGAGAATAGAGGACTGTGTTTTATTTTCTAAATAAACGTATTTATTATTTCAAGGAAAAAATTCTTTACATGGAGCAACACACAGTGTAAAGCAATGCACACTTCACCTCCTGAATTACCAGTGGGAGACAATCTCTGATGAATGCCATTCAATAAAAATGAAATAAAACTTTTTTTTTCCCTCTTTAGGAAACCAGCAAGTGCTTCTAAGGAAGTCATTTCATTAGTCACTTTTTCAAATACCAG